AATTTGATTAAAATTAATATAAAAATTATATAGTAAATAATTTAATTACTAAACTTTGAATTTTAATATCTTTATAACTACTGATTCAATTTTTATGAAATTTATAATATATATTTATCAAATCTAGAGCAATTTGCTTGTGTAGTTTAAAGTTCTAATCTTGCAAATTGATAATGATAATATTTAAAATATCTTTTTTTTAAAAAATTTTATTTTAGTTTTTTAGTAAAGTAATGCATCATTTATTATTAAATTAAATAGAATAATTAAAATAGTATAAAAAGTTAATTTAGATCATTCTTTATTTAATATAAAAAAATATAAAGATTGATTAAAATTTGAATGATTTTTATTAGTAATTTTATATTGGTGTACCAATCTTTTTGCACCGACCATATATGTATTTTCTATATTTTACATTTTCATTGGCTGGTTGGCTGACTGCAAATAAAGCACAGACAATTTTACATTCTTTTTCCTTATGCTAACGTTAACCTCATTCTGACCCTAAAAAAATCGGTCTTTAATTTATGTACCAATCAGAATTTGGAGAGAAACAAAAGAAGTTAAGATCTGATATAAACAATTCCACTAATGAGCCAAAACGGTAGTGTAGATCCCGAAATAGGATTGGTGAATTTGCTTGTATTGTATAAGTGCACAGGACAAGACGTAATTTCGAGTTCAATATTTGTTTTTCCTTTCATTTATGCACTTTAATCGTTCACTGATACTAATGCTTTGTTATTTTTGCTGAAATGAATGTGCCCTACTACGGCTGTCACCACATTCGTATTATCAGAGCCGCCGAAAATAACGTTGCCTTAAGAAAAAGGATTTGATAAGCTTTCCAATTTTTTATCGTTTTGGTTGTTGGATCTTGCCATCAATTAATAAAAATATTCAATACTTTTATGAGAGTAGTTATTGTAAAGAGTGCAGTTTAGGTTTGTTAGATTGAACCCGCAAAATTTTTTGTCCCGAATTCGTTTAATTGTTATAAACGAAGGGCGTTTTCGGTATTAGTAATAGGTTTTGGTTAAATCACGTGAAATTTGAGTTGTGCCACTCTTTATCACGCGAAAATAAATTTCGAACTTGAGTTACTGTTACAGTAAAGAAAATCCCCTCCCCCTTAAATGTTTCAAATCGCAATTCCATTATATATTGTTGACATTGAGTAAAGTTATAAACAAAGAATTTATTTTCTTAGCCATACAATTCTACTCTTTAATCTTTCCTCCTTCTTGTTATATATTTTCGGCGTTATGATGCTTTCGTTCAACGTCATCAATGATCAATCTTCAAGTCAATTATCAATCATATGCAAAAGTCCCTGCGTTTTATAAAGATCGTACAATTGTCCTTTAATATGGTTTATTTACGTATTGTGTAAATGTAATATGCGTGTTTTTTGAGCGAAATGACGCGACGCGACGCGGTGCAAGCGCTAATCGTTGGTGTTTCGTGTTTTGTGGCATCCCATTTTTTTTTGAGACATAGAATTTTTGAGATAGGATTTAACTGATATTAAAAATGGATACTCCCCTATGACTTTCGTTTGCTCATTGTTTTTGCCAAAATCTCCTGCGTTCTATTTATTTCGTCCACATGGTCTCCCTATTTATAGACATTGATCTTTTATTATTAGTTTTCACTGATGGACTTCTACCCAAACTTTTCAAGAGGAAATCTCTAACGCTAATCTCTTCCTTTTGCTTACGTGTTGTAGAAATTAAGTTGGAAATTTAATTATATTACATGATATCGATGTCGATTTTCAGGAGTTATACATGCGTCTGCATTCTATCTAAATATTACTTATCGTTCATATATTAAAATAGCATGAAAAAATATACGGATGATTTTGATTTGTTCGCAAAGGCCGAGAAAATAACAATATACAAAAAAAATATTTATTTATTTATTATTTATTGTAAAGTTGTATCACCATCACCATGCAAACAACCATAAAAATATCAATCAATAAGTGATATATAAATTGATATATAAAAAAGGAACCTTGCATTTATGCTGTGTCATCAAACAAACATAATTGTTATAGGCAGCTTTTTGGAGGAAATAATTGATGGATATTATAGCAACATGAACACAAACAACCCCTCGATCAAAAAAATCAGTCTATATATACCCAGCTGAAACATGTAAAGAAGACTTTTCTTCTTTCTCTTAACCTCAAGTGTTGAACGCTGTGGTTTATTTGTCTCGCTTGTCAATTAAATTGAATTGTTGTTTTTTGACCAACATATAACATATAACGCGTTCGAAATTTAAAGATATTTTGTTTTTTTTATTTTGTAAATCTTTATATTGAATACTACGACGCGTGCGTACCGTGTACACACTAAAAACGCTTTATTTTATATATCTACACATATATATAAAAATATACGAGAAACTCTATTTTTTTACATCTACAACAACAAAAAGAATACGAGTTACTAAAATTTAAGTAATAGCGGATTAAGGATGAAAAATATTTTGATCTTGGGAGCTTTGTTGTGTTTGGTTTTGTTACAAATACTGGCCGTTGCTGTGCCCACTGTTCAAGGTGAGTTGTTCGTAAAAATTTTATATTTGCCGTTTTGATTCATATAATTTATTACCAAATGGGGTTTAGTTGTTTAGAATATACACCAATTAAAGATTAGTTTTATGCATACAAACATCTCTAAATGCATCCCCAAGGGACCGATCATTGGACGTGCATTTAGAGAGTATTAGAACTCGGTTGTATTTGGGGAGGGTGTACATTGTAAAGGGGAGGTTTCTTCGTGACTCATCCCATTCAATGTGTTTTAGGTTATGGGAATTGGGCTAAGATTTGGGTATCGAGGAAGGGCTGATAAAGTATAGGCGGCAAATAAATGCAAAGAATAAATTAGATTATTAATAAACTATAATAATTTATTATAATATAGGCGCAATAATAGCAAGAGGCGTTGAAGCCAAGAATGGTACTGCTAGTAAAGCAATACATCATAAACATGGACGCAATCCCAAAAAGAAACCAAAACTAAAGCAAAAGCATCAGCATCAAAAACTAATCCAAAAACAAAAACCAAAACCAAAACAAAAACCAACAACGACAACGACAACGACAAATACACCATTAACGCCACCAACACCTCCACCTCCACCAAAAAAACCAGAAATGACATCAACGAAATCAACCGCCACAATTTCGCCCACCGTGGAACCCGCTAATAATCCGGATCAAGTCACCGCTACAATCGCCACAATTTCGCCCACTGCGGATGGAAATAATCCAGATCAAGCCACTGTTACAATCGCCACAATTTCGCCCACTGCGGAACCCACCAATGACCCTACTACCACGTCTGCTGATAATAATGGTAGCAACGAAGGTTCTACTACGGATGCTACTGATGACACTAATAGTAGTTCAAATGGCGGAGCTAGTTCAAATCCCGGTAATGGGCAAGAAAACAGCGGAGCTGTAAGTCTCGACTCCAATAACCCAAATTTGGACAATACACAGGTCCAAACGGTTCCGGGCCGGTCCCTTGAAATCGAATCGGTTGGACCATACATTGTCTTTGGAATGATCGCTTTGCTCGCATTCCTGTTGCCAATCTCTGCATATCTCTTTAGTGTACGTAAGGCAAAACTTCGTAAAGAGCGGGAACAGCGAGAGGCTGAAGCCGCGGCGGCTGTTGCCGCAAAAGAAGTGAAATTTGAAGAGTTTGCCGAGGAAGCTAAATTTGCTGAGCGTGAGAAAAAATATGCGGAATTTGCGGAACGGCAGTCGAAATATTCAGAATTTGCAGAGTACAATCAGGATGCGATGATGTTGCCTTAAGAGAATATATACGTATATGTTGTACGTATATACTATTTAAGAAACAAACTAATCGATCACATAAAACAATCGGTTTTTGTATTAATTTATTGTTGGAGTTGAACGATTCGGTGATTTACTGTTGATATTGATCTATCGTTTCTAAAGGGACATTAAAGTTTGATACTTTCCCCCTTTTATTTGCGTGCTTGCGTGCAGAAAAGTTTCTCATTTCTTTAAAAATAGGATTTGACATCCCAAATAATTTTTGTTTTTTCATTTTTTTTATCGTACCCGCGCATATATATATATATATATATCTGAAAACACATTATCACTAGTTTTTTATATTCTACGTGCTTTCTATTTTCTTCGGGTTCATCACGGACGTTTAGATCTTATGGAATTAGAATTTTAGAGAAGTAGATAATTTCATAAGAAAAAAGTAGGAAAAGAAAAGATACATATATTTATGTGTATGTGTGTACGTATATATTCATACAACGAAAGATGCGCTTGATTCAAAAAATAGCGCATGTAAGTAGTGGAATCGTATTTTTTTTAATCATCAATTCTCCCGCCCTCCATTCTCTCTTACTTAATACCCTCCGATCCCACAAAAAACCTTTCTTTTCTGCCTTTTCAGATTTTTATATCACATTCAAAATCAATCCCCTATTATCCTTTATACCAAAAGATTCGATCGATTAATACCACCATCTATTTCCTTCATTTAAAAATCTTGTATCATATAATTTAACTTAAAAAATCTGTATATTCAACATTCTTTTTGGGCTGGGTGGGACTTTTTTACATTAAAAAACGATAGATTCTATATCTGCTACATACATATACAAAATAATGTGTAATAATATTTTTTTTTCTCCATCAAAATGTAAATTCTAATTTAGTGGACGTCCTGTCATCTTTTATTCTCCCATTTCAAAATAATCATAACCATTCTCATTATACTTAAATCATCAATTTTCTTGTATCTAATATCGTATTGTTAAAATAAATGTTTTTCGTTTGACTCTGTCAAATCCTTCTCATAGCATAAACGCCAATTTCTTTAATATTGTCTTTGTTCGAATATTGACGTTTATATCTTTGGATACATTTGTCGGATATAAATTTGAAATTTCTTATTTTATTTGTTCAGCAGATTTTTTGATTTCTCTGTCCAGATGGGTATCTTTTATTCTGTAAACACGTTTTGAGACAGGTTTGTCATTTTCTGATAGAGACCAATAATCTCACAGTATTATTCTAGCTCGATCATTACTCTATCGGAAAATGCATTTTATTATATACATTTTTGTTTTGTTTGTTTTGGGGCATGCGCAAATTAAAAACTTTAACGTTAAAATTCCAATGGATTGGGACATATATAGTATTGAAGTTAATTAGAATGGGTTACACGCTCCCAATCACAATTTGTGAAAAAACGTGGTGTAATCTGTCGGTGAACGCGTGTAAGCGTGTATACATAAACCCGACAGTGTGATTCACTCGCTCGTTGTCGTTGCTTGCTCTCTTGTTCGTTCTGTATTATTATTATTATTATTATTCTCTCTCTTTGCCCACATCTTCGGCCATATTTCTCTTTCCCTTTCTTTCCTAAAAGATAAATTCCATCTTTTTTGGCAAAAAGAATTTTTGCTTACTCACCGTCTTTTTGTTTCTTACCATTTCTCCATCTTTTTCCTCCACCTCTTTTCTCCTTCACCGTCGACTTCACTGTACGACGCCCAAAATAATTACAACACAATTCTTCTCACCAAATATCCCTTTCTAAATTCCAAGGACAGCGTCACCTCATTTATCCCTTTATTTCTCGTTACTTATAATACTATTACATTATTCCCCCATACCAGACGAGCAGAGCTTGCAAATGTTAATTTTCTTTGTCATAAAAGAAAAAAGCATTTAATTCTGTTGACGAGACTAGACAAATCTCATATACATATATACATATACACACACACACACACACACACACACACTGTATAGTAGACATTATCAAAGTATAATAATTGCGTAGCATATTTACATACAAACTAAAAAAATCTTCAAACATATATATCATCTCCTCAATCCTATAGTCACATTCGTATCTTGTCTATTTCATTACCTTCATTAATAGTAATCATTCCCCTAAACATCACCCGGTCTCTGAAAAATAAAAAACATGCTGGGAAGTAACAGAGATACAATGTTTTGGCGTCGCATGTCAAAAGCTGCCAAAGATCCGGATAATAGTGAATGGCTAGAGAAACAACAGAAAAAACAA